ATATTTTATTATTTTATGTTTCTATATTTTAATTTATTAAAATTAATCTAATTAAAAATATTTTTTATATTTTTTGGTATTTAAAACTATTAAAAAAACTATTATATTAATTATGTTTTAAATTTGATATTTAATAATTAAGTTTTTGTTTATTCTTTTTTTTAATTTGAAAATAATAAAATTTTATTTTGTTACAGTTTATGCTAAGTTTTGTGGATGCATGTGACAAAATCAAAATTAGTATGCATCTACATTCATTTACATATGATTTTCATTTACGTTGTATCCATTCGTATATAGCTGGGACTGGACCTTGGTTAGTACAACAAGGTTATCATCTCATTCATTTTCTTGATGATTTTAACAAATATTATAGCAAAGCTCCAAATTATGCAAGAAATCTTATATATAGTGGTAAGTGGAATTATATGAAGTACGTGTATGTTTATTTTTTAATTATTTTAAATAAATTATTTGATCGAATGTTAACACTTATAATTAATATTATACAAAAAATAATATACTGGAATATTTTCAATAAAAATAACAATTTCACAAAGATTTGAAAACTAATATGTGCATAGATATGCAATAGAAATAATATTTATGAAAATGAATATAATGATATTTGATAATATATTTATCATATAATATATTATATAGTGATTTTTATTGATATCGAAAATAGTTTTATTTTTGATCTTTGTTATATTTTTTTTAAATATTTTTTAATTCATATTTAATGAATAATATATTTTATATTTTAAATCAATATATTTTATTGTTTAGTTATTATTTAATATTTTATTTGAAAAGAAAAAGAACAAGTAAATTATTAAAATACTATTATATATTAATTAATATATATTATTATATAATATATTATTATATATTAAATTAAAATTATATATATATTTTTTAATATTTATTTTTGTTTAGATGTAATAACTATTCGCAATTTAGCGATATCCGGTCGGAATTTATATTCTTATTTATTATCTCATGAGAAGATTTATAACATGCGTGTATTCATAATGAAAAATGATCTTCATGATTCTGAAGAAAGTGAATATGTTTTAGTAAGCTTAAAAAGTACTCCTTTAATTAGTTATTGTGACGTACAAGATACAAAATATGCCGATGATTTTGATGTTGTTCTTATTGTATCACATTTAGAACAATGTCCACAAGTAGAAAAAACAGAAATTACTTTAAAATATTATTTAATGTTAACAAGCAAACGAGAATTATATCCAAAGAGAGAAGTAGAAAATAATAAATTAGGAAAATTTCGTACAGTATATAGTATCGAAAAATCTACTAATACTTATACTGAGCCTCTTATGGATACTTTAAACGAATCTTCTTCAATGCAAGATTGTAAACAAGATACAAATGATAAAAAATGTGATACCAAATTGTACAATGCTAATTTCGGTATTAATTGTAATAGTACAGGTGCTCCAATACCTCCACCAGTACCCAATTCTCCATTAACACAAAATGTAAATCCTCCAAATGTCGCAGTTAATTCTCCATCTCCACATTTAATTCAAATACGAAAAGAATCAATTAATTATTTAGGTTATTATTCATCACATGAACAGTTAATGCAACAAACAATAATGTCTCAAGCAAATGCAGCTCGTATACATATAATGAATATGATAAAACGTGGAGCATTGGAATGTAGAACACATCTTCTTTGGAATAAGTTATTAGAAGGTAAATCTGCAATGAATTATATTGAATTCTCTGAACTTTGTTCATTGGCTCATGTTGAGCCTTTATCGAACATGGATCCAAGATTGAAGCCATTTATTAACCAGCCAGTTTCTTGGTATCAAGCTTTATCAAAAGTTTTACAAAATAAATATCAAGAACATCATAAACAATTTAATACACCAGATGGAAATATTAGTCATCTACTTATATTGCATCCAAATTTTTTTCAAGTTTTTATGATGTTAACTATAGATTTACATGCTTCACGAGGGGTTTGTATCATTTTCTGTATTAATATTATTTGTATATATTATATAGAATGATCATGAAATCATGATAAAAATAAATATTTTCCTATATTAAAATAAATTCAAAAATATAAAATTAAAATTATTCATATATGTAAAAATTTAATAAATTATATTAGTTTACACTTTTATAATATATCTAAGCAGGAGTTCTATAAGAGAATAAGAATCATATTTTATAAATTAATATTTAAAACAAATGAATTATTAAAATTTATAATTTTTTAATTTAAAAATTATATTATATTCTAATATTGCATTTAAATAGATTGTGTTTAATAATTCTTAATAATTTAGATTATATATAATTTAATAATTTAAATTATATGTATTTAATAAATTATAAAATTCGATTTTTATAATTATATAAAAATATAATAATATATGTATAAAAAATATAAAAAATATTTACTAATGAGATAATGACAATTTGTTGGAACTTTTATGATCAAAAGAATATATTTCTATTAATATGAAATATATGAATATATTTTTTAATATGAAATATAAATATGAAATTAATATTATTATTTTTAATAAATACCTTTAAATAATATAAATTATTTTATATAAAAAATTTATATTTTCAAAATTATATTTATAAGATTAGATAATTATATGATTGTTAAATAAACTTGATAAAAAATTTATTTTTTATTAAAAAAATAAAATATAAGAAATATAGGAGTAAAGTAATAAGAAATAAACATCTTATATATAGAGAGAATTGAAGTTAAGAAATCCTAAATTTTATAACAGTTATTTTTGATAAATTTGATTTTTTGAAATATTTTTGATAAATTTTCAAATAGTTATCTATTCTAGCTTAAATAAATCATTATATTGAAATTAAAAATTATGTACAAATAATAAATTATTCTATTTAAAAATGCATAATTATTTGATAATTGATAAAAAATATTAAAAAAAATTTTTTTTCTTCTTAAAAACATTGTATTCTTATATATTATATGTATATTATAAATTTTGCATGTATAGTATGTAAAATCAAGAATACAAAAAAAAAAAAAATAAAAGTTTATATATTTAATAATCGTGTTCCAAAAAAGAAATATTTTATTTATTCAAAAAATAAATATATAATAATTTGCATGATATATTTTGTATAATATTTTATTGAAAAAATTTTATTGAAAAATCAAATTTATTATATTAAATAATAAATTTACATAAATAAAATTTTTAATCGATTTTTTTTTATTTTTAGGATTTATACGCAGTTTATTGTAAATCAGAGGAAGCGATTAATGCTCCACGTTGTATAGAAGATACTTATAATTTAATAGAAGGTTTTGTAAATGCTTGTTGTTTCCACTTGTGGATGGGTTTCTATAATTAATAACAATTATACATTCCAAACAAATAATTTTATTTGTACTTATTATTTATATGTACTTGTATGTATTAATTAACGTATATAAGAAACTAATTATATTAATTAAAAAATTATGTATATTTTCATTGTTTGTTATATTGTACTATATTTCATTACTGTAATTTTTATGAAAAATATATTTTTTCTAATTTAAAGAAATTTATATTTATATGTTTTTTTTAAAAAGATTTTAAAGAAGTTTTTAAAATTAAAAAATTTAAAAAATTTTAATAAATTGTTATTTAAACTATAGTTTGATTAAAATACACAGATAAATTTTAAATAAAGTTTAGATAACTAAATAAAATTTTATTATATAATATAATTAATAATTATTATATAATTAA